AGCATTTACTTTTCAGGTGTATCTTCATATACCAAATCAGTCAGATGATGATTCCCATGGAATGGAAGTAGCAGGACTAATGTCAATAAATAGTGTCAGTGAAGTAGAGGCTTTGAAAGAAAGGTTGGTGCTTTTCATTTGCTCATTTTACATCTATACTCTTTCATGAAGATTTTGAGTTTTAGATATATGGTGAAACATGCGGACTTATTTAGCAAGTGTAAAGGAGATCTTTTGCGATTGTTTTCCGACATTGCATCTGCAGAGGGACTTAGCAATCATCTGGTTTGTCTCTTTTTTTCCGATTGCAAGTGTTTGCAAAGTTGTTGAAATTTCAAGTAAGGAAATAAGATATTTTTCTGAAAATTGTTCCAGCCCATTATTAATTCCGAAGGTATTGAACAAATAGCAGCACTGATGCCGCGTACATACTCCGATCTCTTACAAATTGATAGCATGACTGTGCGAAAAGCTGAACGATATGGTGCTCAAATCATGTGTATGCTAAAGGAATACTGGAATGAACTCGACGGTAACTTATGTTACTAGATTTGCAACAAGTAAAAGTGACTAATAATTTGGTGAATCATTTCCATTTGTTACTTTGACTGCTTATAGTTTAAATAAACAGTTATCACTTGAATCTCCAGCACGTGAGGAAAATGAAATCAAACGGCAGCTGAACCATATGAATACAAATAAAGATATCGTCGGTGGTTTTAGGGACATACAGATAGATGGTGCAGTTACCCCAGCTTCAGGTTAGAATTTTTTCTGAAAAATAGCTAGTTACAAATTACTCAAATTAAATTATTTATTAAAAGTTCAGTGCTCAATTCACAGTCAATTTGTGGTCGTGGAAAATATTTACCTTACTTCGGGACGTCAACACGTTTTACTGGGAGTGGAAATAGACGGGGCCAGGATCGCAAGAGAGGGTTTAACGAATCACAAAGGTAAATTGATAAAAGTTGTAGAGGTAATCGTTTGAAGTATTATAACATATGATGTTGTTAACTGATCGAGTGTGGAGGAATTTTACATCATCTTTCAGCAGTGTTTTGTTTCTCTAAAATTTATGATGTTGCGTGATTTAAAGGTCTAGTTCGTCGAGAGGTTCAACTCACTCTAGACATGGACGGAGGAAAACTTGTGCGTCTCATGCAACGAAAGCAACGAAAGTACCTATTAATCGATCACTTTTTCCAAATCTGTAAGATTAGTGTCACTTAATTTTGTCATTCGTCAAATTGTATGATTATTCATTTATTGTATACATTGTATTTGTTGGTTATATAGACTTTTGCTGCCTTTTTGTCATCATTCTGTGTCATTTTTTATGTTAATTATATTTTTTTCCCCTTTATTGAGAATACTTGCTTCTTTTTGCTTTTAATCTGATGATTGTGCTGGGATTGTTTTGGACTGCTTACTGCAATAAAAAGTTCTCACCAATGCAATAAATAATTTCATCTTTACATTACAGTAATGCCCAACAGCTGTTGGCTTAATCGACGTATAAATAAAGTGAAGAGTTAAACCCTAGGGACCAATTCATATTCAGTCAATTTCTAACTTGTAATCTCACTGATTATAACAGGTTAATAATCACAACGAAAGCTTGGATCACCTTCGTGCTCCACACTCTTCTTCAAAATCCCGCCACAACTGATAGTACATTTTGCTTGCAGCACAATAGTGTCGGGAAATCACAATCTGCTTTAAGAGAGTATTATGTTACATGGTGGTGGTGAGGAAGTAATGACACGGCGAAGACAATTGGATATATGATGGACACAGACAGGCATCAAGGTTAGGCTTTAGTATTTATTTATTATTTAGTGTGCTCGTTGAATTATTCTGACAACAATGCTGTCAATCTTTTTCATATGATGGATTTATTGGAAGGAAATGCTTCCTAGCTTGGTTTATGCTGCTTAAACATTTCCAGCTTGTTGTTATCTGAGCATATAGCACAAATCTTCTAAGTATGTCTTTTTTTTTTCTGAAATTTTGGTGGCAAGTCCATCCAGTGAGTTTGAATTCAGATACGTCGAATGTAGAAAAGTTGGAGATTGGTGAAACAGTGATAAGCAGTCAATCAAGGTATACTGCAACAGAGTCATTGCGAATGCAAAGATTGCACAAAATGCTAGATCTGACGCGGTTTGTGCATCAACTGGAAGAACTATTGACTCAGCCAATAAAGTGATGGTTATATTCGTTTAGAATTTAAATACTGGTTTGCTTTTAGACTTTTTTAAAATGTTTTTTAACGATTTGCAAAATGATTAATGTGCAAAACCTGTTCTGTTTCCAGAGTTCCAGGCACGTCAATTTTGCCTTATCCTGGTTCGCCTGTTAAAGTGCGTCACAACATTGCCAGTATGTTCTCAGTACGCTCTCTCTGGGCAACAGAAGAAGAACGTAAAACTGCTGTCAGTGAGCTGTACAATTTTAAAACTTTGAGAAAAAGAAAGTGGATTCAGAAAATTTTGCTGGAGGAATCTGACTCAGATTCTGATGGTGAATTTCCATTCACTCTCAATGACTTGCATACTATTTTAAAGGTTCATTTTACTGCTTACAAAAATTTTTTAAAGTTGAGCATTTGAAATTTGGTTATATATGTTTATTATGCTTAACTTGAGAAGTCACAAGCTGCTTGATTTTCGTATCTTAAATCCTATACACTTCTTAAAAAAATGTTTATTTTGAAATATCTTTTGTATGTTCCCGGGGATCTTTTGGTCAGATCTAAAAAAAATTGAATCCTTGCAAAACATTAAAGGTGTTGAAGTGATGATTATTCGAATTTCAGTGTAAGAAAAAACATGAACTGAAAAAAAGAAAAAACATAGATTGAGATTAACAGTTGTTAGGCAGATGTCAGTATGTTGTCTCAGCTATTCACATGTGACAACTTGTAGAACTAAATGCAGGATTCAGAGTGATTTTATAAAATTATTGTCAGGGCACTGTCTTTTGAAAATTTTACACTTTGCATGTTATAATTATATTCCTTTCTGTATGTATCATCAAAGTTTTTACAGATTTCTGTAATTTACCACCAAAACAGGTAACCGAACCAGAAAAAAAAAAATCATATTGTCTGTCCAATTTTGATTTGTGTCTGTATCATTTCTGTATATCTTTTTACTTTCTACACTTTCTTCTTTTTACGCCTATATTTGAGTTTTACGAGAATGACCGCACACACAGCTAAACAATTTCTTGATTGGTTCTATTATGACAGACATTCGAGCTGCAAGAAGGACGCAAATTTCATGCTTGATAACTTGTCATGTAATGTAACTGGAAAGAAAATAACTTTATCAAGTTTTCATCCTAAGCTATCAGTCTATTAATTCGTCTACTTCTTATTTGTCTAGAGATTATTTGGTTTGTCGGTTTTACAGGAAAAAGAAAGCCTGTAAAGCTATGGAATCTGTGGATTTTAATTAAAAAGTTTACTTGGGAATGAATTGTTTCGTTTTAGAATTTATACGTCTTTTGAAGCATTATTTATACATCTTTTGACTTATTCTTTTTTAGAATTCCTATAATACCAGTTCCTTATTTTTTTATTTATTATGCTTAATTACTTATCACTTATAATTACTGAATATTCTGATTTTAAAAAATATTAGTGATAGTTATTGGTTACTTCACTATGTAAAAGTTTTTCAAAATTTTTTTTTTCAGTTGCATCGTAGACGACGGAAATTGCAGAAAACATATCATATCAATGTTCTCAATTCTCAGTATACTTATTATGGTGCTGGCTTACTAAGCAATTATGATCCATTTCCAGAACATCAAGATAGAATAAAGGAAAAGTATGGCGTTAAGTCTAAGCAGAGTTAATATTTCTTACAAAGATCTCATTTTTGTTCACTCGCCTATGATATAACCCCCTTGATTTCTGCCTTTAAAATTTCATTGCTTCTATGCAAGAAAATTTTTAATCAAGAAGCAAAGAATGTTGCGGATTAGGGATTTTGAAAAATGAAAATTTCTTTCTTTCTCCATTTTCATTTCTTTCCTTAGTTCCTTGTCTCTTTTAATCTAACATTCTTGCGAGCTTGCTAAAAATCACCTCGATATTCCAATAAGACCAATTGATTGTAACCGATTTTCGATAAAATGAAATGGAATAAGAAAATCTGGTTTCGTGGATTTATTTGCACCATATCTTATTATGCTTCTAATAGTTTCTTAAACGGTTTTTATATTAGGTTTATATGTTGGTTTTTGATTTTATGTTCTCACTCTAAGTTTTCTCTTTTATCTCTGTTTTTATTGTGGAATAAATGTATTGCTTTTATTTGTCGGGTGATTCTCTTGTTGCTGATAGAAAAGATCTAATTCAAACATGAGTGTATTTTCTTTGAAAGTATTACAGTTTTATTCACTTAGATCCAGAGGAGAAGATGTCAAAACATGTGAAATGGTGCTTCCGTACCAGTTGTTTATCCTTCCAAAGTTCTCATGTATTGTCTGCATTTCGTTTAGTTTTTAAAAGGTTAAATTATGATTGGAGAACACAGATACAAAGCAGCTGATATGGGATAAGTCACTTAATCTTTCCCCAAGTATCTCTTATCAATATCAAAGTGCTTAGAGAAAGTGAAAGTCCTAGTAAGTATATAAATCTAAGTACGACTTCATCCTCAAGAAATGGATTGTTTGTTTATACTTGGTTTCCGCACTGGATTTGTGGGTACGGCATTTATTTTAAAGTTGTTTCAAGCAAAATTTCTCTTCCAGAGCTTATTGGTGCACTAAAAGTACATTGTTTCCTGAGTCTGTTTTTTAATTTCATAACATTCAGTATTGTAAAACTGAAGATAGAGGTTCACATATAATTACTATGCTAGCACATCTTACCGTCGCAGATTGGATTAATTTTGACAGTATAGCCATGTAGGTAATTAACCATAATTCTGTTCTGTTATGAATGCATTCAAAAATATGTTAAAAATAATTTTGCAGAAGAAATGGGGGAAGCAGCTGAACTGGCCGAACAGCTTCTCAACCCCCGTTCCATGCTCAATGTTGATGGCTTACTGGCAAGTCATTTTTCTTCGATTCCTTCTTTATTCACTGAAAATTATGCAAACAGCGCATAGATTGTGTGCAAAATCTTTTTACTTTGTTCCTTTTTTAACGTTTTTACATATGACACATATCTGTATGCATTACAGTGCGAGTTTAAATCTAGTGGAGCAAGCTACCATATTATTTTATGTAGGACTCCAATTACAGGATGCGTTGGCGGCCTTGGTGGAAGATTGCAATTATCCTTTGTTAAGGAGAACAAAAAATATCGACAATTTTGTTACTCGTTGTGAGTAACTTTTTGGTCTTCTTTTCTGAGTAAAAGTATTATTAAAAGTGCTAGAATGTTCTGTTTGGTGAAACGTATTCTTTGTAGATCTTCTTTATGTGTTTCTCGTAAGGCTTCTTAAACGCAGAACGAAGTTATTTCTCAATTTTTTTTTTTTTTTAAATTTCATGGTCACTGTCTAATAATCATCCTGCTTATGATGGGTTAATCGATGCTGCATTCCTGAATATAGTAATAATGATCTTTTTTCACTTATTCTGAATTTTTATTTTAGATAGTGAAGCAGTACAACAACTTACAACACTTCGTCTAAAAGGCTCCGACTTCCAGCTTATCAAAGTCATAGGACGTGGAGCTTACGGTGAAGTGCAGTTAGTGCGGCATACTATATCGCGAAATGTTTATGCTATGAAATTGCTCAACAAAAATGAAATGGTAGGTATAGCTGTTTTAATGTTTTGTTGAAAATCAAGAAATTGAACGAATAATATTTTTTTTGTTTTTTGAGGTACGGCGGGCTGATTCGGCTTTCTTTTGGGAAGAACGAGATATTATGGCACATGCTCATTCTGAATGGATTGTACGCTTGCACTACGCTTTCCAGGATACCCAGTTTTTGTATATGGTGATGGAATACATGCCTGGAGGTTCGTTTGATTTGGAAAAGACGAAACACATTTTTAATTTTTTGCTTAGAGAGAATTCCGATTCTAAAATACACGTGCGTATTTTTTTAAGGCGATTTGGTCAACTTAATGACATCATATGATGTGTCTGAAAAATGGGCTCGATTTTATGCAGCTGAGCTTGTAATGGCTTTGGATACCTTACATGGGATGGGGTACATTCATCGGGATGTTAAGCCGGATAATATGCTTATAAGTAAATCAGGTCACGTGAAATTAGCTGATTTTGGTACTTGTCTGCGCATGGGTCCGGTAAGTTTATGTATAGAAATGTAGAGTAGGGGAATTCAAATATTTGGAGTTATTCAAAATTATTTCATTCTTGCCTGATCTAGTGTAAATTGAAAGAAAGGATTTATACTAAATTTATTCTGAAGTTATATTTATAGTGAACTTTTTGCAGAATGGCTTAGTAAAATGTACTACTGCAGTTGGTACTCCTGATTATATTAGTCCAGAAGTACTGGAATTACAAGGCACCGAAGGAGTATACGGTCGTGAAGTTGATTGGTGGGCTGTGGGTATATTTGTGTATGAAATGCTGGTGGGTGAAACACCCTTTTATGCCGATTCTCTGATGGGGACTTACACGAGAATCAGAAATCATGCGACAGAACTGAAGTTGGTTTTTTTTTTTTTTTTTGATAGTTCTGGAAACAAAGCAATATCTTCAGCATATTCTTAGCTTTTCATCCTTAAATTTATGATTTTCAGTTTTCCGGAAGATGTTGAGATGTCAGAAAATGCCAAAAATTTAGTGCGCGCTTTTCTTTCTGTCTCAGAAAAACGGCTTGGTAAAGATGGTGTCGAAAGTATAAAACAACATCCTTTTTTCCAGAATGATGAGTGGAACTTCGAGACTATTCGGAAGGGTTAATAAACTAATCATTAATTTTCAAAGATATCAGTTGCCTGTGTATTCGTTTTTATCGATTCTGTAATTTATGTGAACAAAGTCGCTTCAGCCGTGCCTCCAGTGATTCCCGAACTAAAGGGTGATGACGATGCTTCTCATTTTGATGACATTGAAGTAAAAGAGCCGGATCCTGCGGAGTTTTTTCAAATTCCGAAATCATTCGCTGGAAACCAGCTACCCTTTGTTGGTTTCACGTATTCTAATGAAACTGGGTCAGTTTTAGTTGATTTAAAGTCAGAATCACAGAGTTCACAGTAATTTCTTTACTTTAAATGCTGTTTCAGACCGATTTCTGTAATTCAAAAAAAGTTTGAAACTACGTCAAGGGATGATGCTGTGCAAGTTCGAGCTGCTTTAAATCAGCTGAATCAAATTTCAGAATCGCAGCTAGAGGTATATTATTGAGTTGCTTCGATTAAATATAAGCATAATGCACTTTATATCTTTTATTAATTTCCTACAGATATTATACCACAAAATTCTAGGATGAAAAACGAAAGCTTGAAAAGGAATTAGCAACATATCAAATACAAGTGAAAGATTTGGCTCGAAAACTTGATATGGAACGTGAAGAAATGAATATTAAAATTAAAATGATAACTTCTCTGGAAGAGCAGCTAATTATCAAAGCAAAGGTGGAAGATCGTATGAAAGAGCTTGAACGGCAAATCGGAGAGGTTTGTAGCGTTTGCTTTGTTAGAAGCATTTTTATGCTATTCATTTGCTTAGAAAAAACCTTGTAATTGCCGTTTGAATGTTTGGAAGCTGCTGACAATGAAACCACTGGATTTTTAGAGGATAATTTAACTTGACTCTCCGCAAGATTTAATTTCGCTTTTTTAACGATTTATTGAGTGCTTATTTCAGCTGAATGAAAAATGTCGTCATCATTCCGAAGCGGAAGAGCGGGCCAGAAAGCAGCAAAGTGAATTGCATGCTAAATTAAATTCACAGAATGAAATTGCTCGTGAATTAAATGAGCGACTTCAGAAAAGTAATGAAGAAGAGACGGTACTACAGCAGCAAATTGATCAGTTGCATGCTTTGAATTCACAAGAAAGAGAAAATTTAAGACGAGCACAGCAACGGTCTAATGTAAGAGTCCATATTAAGTTCAAACCGATTAATGATGTTGCTTGATAGTTATTTATTTCAATAAAATGCAGTGGTACTTTTAGAATTTATAAATTATTCAAATTTATAGGAACAGAATGAAAAAGTAGAAGAGTTACGGATAGAATTAGCAGCAGCACGTGATCGGGAAATGGCATTAAAATGCCAAGTGGGAAAACTGAGTGAATTAATGGCGCAGCAGGAAAATTTTTCTGATGAAAATAAGATTAACGATGAAGCCAGGAAAAATAACGTACGTCTCGTTGGCGATCTCCAAGCAGCTCACAAAAAGGTGACTTTAATAGTTTTGCGTTACTATTGCTTTCGATTTCTAGCTACTCTTATTTTGTGATTAATTTTTGTTTTAGTTCATAGTTCTATACCAGTGAACTCTATACTTAACTGATGCAATCCTCTGAATTTGCCGTAACACATTCCAAAATTTTGCGGTTCATAAAATTCACAAAAGTGGAAACATTTTTTGTCACTATTAATTCATTTATTTAATTCAAATTATTTGCAGCTAGAGCAGTTAACATCCCACTTGGAACAAGAAACTAATCGCAGAATATCAGCACAAAATGACGTACACTGTTTGAATGACCAACTATCAAATATGCAAAGTTCATTGCATTATCAAGAAAATGTAGTTTTAACCTTGTGGCTTAACCATGAATAGGATTCATTTTCCTTGTTTGCTCAACTTTTGAACTCATTTTTTTTTCTTTTATGAATAAACGGAATCCTTTTCCATTGTAACATGACTTTATATTTTCAGGAAAATTTTATATTTCGCATACTTATATCTTACAGAAGCTAACAACTAAATATTAGCCTTTTTGAGGAGTTGAAGCGTGTTCGTGATGAAAAACGACGCTTAGAGGATCAACTGCAAAGCCTGTCATCATTAAGTCGTCTTTTACAAAGACAGCTGGAAGATGTTCGAGAGCAGTTTGACACTGAATCCTCATTTGTAGTGCGTTGTGTATTTTAAAATCAGTTGTGCACCACTAATATTGATCAGTTTTAAGTTTCATTTAAATATATTTCACTCAAAATCTGAAGATCATTTTATTTGAATCGAAATTTGTGATAAATTGCGGAAGTTATCTGTAATCTCTAGTATAAGGAACATCCTCGTTAGTCAAAAAAAACATATGTTAGTGGTCGTGTTAATTCAAAAATATAAAAATGAAATAAAGTATACTTCTATATTGTATTTTTTAATTTTCTAAGTTCTTGTGTAACAATTTTTCAGAATATATACAAGACAGAAATGAATGCTTTAAATGAAGAATTGTTGGAAAAAACACGGCGCTTAGAACAACTGGAAGAACATCAGTATGAATTATTGTTTCACTAAGTTTTTAATGTATCGTTCTGGAACCGTAAAGTAGTTCATGCGACAAATGAAGAGATTTTCTATTTTAATCTAGAAATTTTGAAGAAGGCGAGAAGAAGAAAGAACTCGTGATATGCTTGCACATCTTGAAAGTGAGCGACTGGCACGACGTATTGCTGAAGAAAATTTATCCACTACAGACAAAGGTGTTTTTTGGAATACTGGATACGATCTTTAACTTACATATTATTTTTCTTTTAAATTGATTTGTTTTAGAAAAAACGATGCTTGAAGTTGAAGTACGTCAACTTGTACAACGACATGAGAAAGAGTTGGCAGCCAAAGATGCTGCTATACAATTAATTTCGCAAAAGGTTTCTTTGATGTGTTTTTCCCTTACTTGATACGTTAAACTAAATATTGGGCAAGTTCTAATGAAACTATTATAAAGACATTTGAACAATCAAAAGTACAATTAAATAATTTGAAATTCTTCGTCAAGCATATTCAATATGCAAAATTATACAGCCACATGTTTTTCTAGGAAGAAGAGCTTCAACAGTCCTTACAAGGCGCCCAAAATGAACTACGTTCCATTTCGGAACGAGATTGGTCACGTACTTCACCAGAAGAGAGCATACGAGATTTGAAAAACCAGTTGGAGCACGAAAAAGTGATGAAAACTACTGTAAGCTGTAAAGTTTGATCGATTGAAGTGATCTGATCCGCTGCAAAATTTTATTAAGCAATTTAGTTTATAAAAAATAGCTGGAGAGAGAGTAAAAGCGTTCCATGTCAAATTCCACATTTTTTACAACTCTTTTCAGGCCATTAATAAATTGGAAGAAGTGATGGCTCAACGTCAGGCAAATGAAGCCCTCAAAAAAGGTAAAATGAGTCGTAATGATGCAAGAAGGCGAGAAAAGAAGATAGTTGAACTGGAGAAAGACTTAAGAATGGAACGGCAGAAGTATGAGGAACGTGTTATGCAGATAGTAAAGGAAAATGAACAGTTAAAGGTGGGTCATCTTTCAGCAGTTAGTGGGGAGACTATCGTGTGAAAAGATATGCTTAACTCTAAAACATGATATAATTCTTCTCACAAATTTGACACAGTGTTAAACTTCTTTAGCTTGCGTTAGCTGAAGAAGAAAAAGCAAACGAAAAGTTGCGAATGGATCTTGAAACATTCCGGCATCTGGAAACTGCAATGAATGAGCAAAAGAAGCGGGAGAGGCAAGAAATTCATGGAGATCACCCTCGAACCTCTGCTACCAACCTCATGCAAGGAATTAATGAAGTGAGCTCTGCTTTATGAATATGCTTCCTTCTGCAATATTTATTGGTTTATTATTTATTAGTTCATCAGGATTTGTACAGCCTTTTAATCTGAATTCATAACCCTCAGTTGTTGCGAAATTTTCATATTTTCTTCATATTTGCTTTTAAGAAAGCAATTCTTCAGTAATTAAATAAAATGAAAAATAGAATTGAAAATGTTCATTCAGAATGAGTTGCGTTATGATGGCGCAGTCTCAATTCGTTTAACAGTGAAGAGGCGACAACAATGGCAAGAGTGTTTTGCAATTTTTAATCCTGCTGGTCTTTTCTTTTACTTGACTCAAAATGATCGTCAACCCTTTCAAACTATCCAGGCCGAGTATGATTTCATTTTAAGCAATTTTTTTTTTTTTTTTTAATATTACTTCTTTTTCTCCATTTAAAATAATTCACTTCTTTGTTACAAACATAGTTTGTACATAGCAATCCTTATGCATTGTCGTGATATTTTTGTCCATAAAATTCATGTTCAGTAGACTATGCCACGCTCGTCATGTGAGCGCTGCAGATGTGAGGTGCGCTGGGGAGAATCAGTTGCCACGTATTTTCCAGGTACGTCTGAAGCTTTTGTGATATTCATATATGTTATAAAAAAAATGCTAATATAAAAAAATTATATTTATTACACAATTCAAATGATTTCCAAAGTGCCTATATTTTATATCTTATTTTAAAGAACTGTTGTAGTTGAAAGCAGGATTTACTGCTTCAGCTGTCTACTGATTGCTCTAACAATGTATAGACAAACAGATTTTCTTGGTGGTGAACAAAATGTAACCTCCACTTGTTTGGACATTCTGTCTGAACTGAATACATATCTAGCTTTAGTACATCTTTTTTTGAGTCGTATATAACTCGAACCACAAAATTTAACGTCACCAAATCGAAGATTAGCCATGCGAATGTTTTCTATCAAAATTATTTCAAAAGACCGAAAAGAATCTTGTGTTGGCCATGAAAACTGACAGCAATTCTGTGATGATTTAACAAAAATAAGAACCAAGGCACAGACATTTACTTGGAAAGTTTCTAAAAAGATGTTTCTTGATCATATGTAACAATGATTATTGAAATACACATCACACTAATTGATTACTTTTTTCGAGCGTTTTCTAGATTTTATATGGTACTGAGGAGAATTCATCATCTCGGCGCTCTTCAGTTGCTGACTTATCATCACTGTCAGGTTCACGTGAGGTTGGTATGTCGCATAATCACATTTTTTCGATTTGCAAAGTTTTTTTCTCATGCTTCCTTTGAAGGAATTTTATTGGAAAATTTTTTATTTATGTGAGATTGGTATATCGTAATTCGAAAAAACAAGTGTGATATAAGGGGAAAAATCAATGCATGCTTTCCATTCGGCTTAGTTTTACTTATTAAAAATGATTTTGACTTCTTTCAAGAAGTAGCATAATGAGAAATAAATAGCTATCTGTTGATCATACTTGAAAGTATATATAGCATTTAAATCTCGCAAAAATAATATGCAGTCATATGAATGACATTTTCTTGATTGATCAAGTTTTATACACTTTTTTGTGTTTGTACGTAAAGGATACTGCTATAATGAATAGTATTGCTGAAGAGAATAAAGAGAGGAAGAATAGAAAGCAATGTTTTTTCCTGAATTAGATCTATATATATATATATATATATATATATAGAGAGAGAGAGAGAGAGGGAGAGAGAGAGAGAGTCGGATAAATTCTCTTCGATTCATGTGGTATCGACATGATGTGAAGGACATTTTATATATCAGTAATTGTGATTAAATAATTTAAAGATTTTATTCAGGAAAAGCTAGATAAAGCGTTATGGAATCGACATGATCTTGTCGAACTGACTTTCCACATGCCAACGAATTGTGATCTTTGTGTTAAACCACTGTCAAATTTGCTTCGACCTCCACCAGCTTTCGAATGCAGGCGTACATTTTTTCGAACTTGTATCTTATTTTAATCTTTTTTGTGTTGCTTTATTAACTTTTTTTAGGTTGTCGAATGCGTTTCCACAGAGATCATCTTGGAGTAGAAACAATACCGCAATGCAGACGTAAGATTTGATTTGTAATATAATCTAATTTCACTGTTTCCTTGGACTATCATCTTATACTGTCATGATAAATTCATGAAATTACTTGTAGAAACAGTAGATGCTCGAGAGATGTTAATAATGGCTCCATCAGCAGAAACATGTGAAGCGTGGGTTCAGCATTTAAAACGTTTCCTTGATTACAAACATTCCCAGAAAATGGTCTGTAAATTCATTTGTTATGATTACGGGAACATATACTTAATTTTTATTGAAATATTGATTTTATGAAATCTGGAAATATTTTATTTAGTTTTTATCAGAAATCAGTTCTTGAAAATTAAGAAAAAAAATTTTTTTCAGATTGACTGGCAGAAATTAATTCCTTGGTAAAAAATACATGTTTGCAGGGGACGCTACTTCCTCTTTCTGGTAGCTCGATGAAAGTGCCTACAAAGTCAGCAAACGTGCCTCGTTCTGCTACTCTCCCAAACAATTCACTTATTTCTCCGGTAGCTCTGTGATAAAGTTACCAGTTTTGTTATTGTTCAAGTGCAGATAATCCAGTTTTATCTCAGCGTGAACTGAATCTGTTTTTATTTTCATATTTGCAAGATTTCATGTAAATTCTTGATTCATTTTCATTTATTTTGGTTTCATGCAGTTGGATTTAATATTTTATCTCCTTGTTGGGTTGTCTTTTATCTGTAAATTTGCTTTCACAGTGCATATCATTCCTACATTTTTTGGTTATTCCATTTATTCTGCCTTTTAATAGTTTCACTTATTTGATAAAATTTGCACAATTATTTGGTAACGTTGTAGTTCGTTGTTTTCTTCTACTGCTTTTAATTATTTGTCTTACTGTCTAGATAACGATCATCCCAAAATTCTGACTCTTTAAAAGGAATTTTTGTCAAAATCAAGGTTTCACGTATATTTTTTCGGTTAGTTTTGTCTTCAAATTTAAATAAATAATTTGCATTTTGCTGAAAAATACTGATCCTGCTAGAAAAATGCGGAGGAATTTTACTGTGTCGAGAAATTTTTAACTTCGAGATTTAAACCAGTTTTTTTTTTGAAATTGGATATCTCCCAGTAAATCGTAACTTTTACTTGATTCTTTCTTTGATTTTACGGATTTACTTTCTGTATTTTTCATGATCTTATCCAAACCATTTATTTTTGAACTTCTTTTGTCTACTCTAAGTCTACTCTACAGAGATCAGCCCTTTTGTATTTAGAAACACCAAGCTAAACTCGAGAGTTACTGTATTGTTTTGACATTGTGTCGTTGATGCTTTCTACCATGTCACTGATATTACTAACATGCAAAATTTTCTTCAGATTTATAATTTTGGTTATTCAATAAATATCTTTTTAAATAATTTCAGTGATTTAGACATTAATATCAGGCAATATCTGTAAGAACATAAGTCATTACAACTATTGCTGTTCCACGGTAAACTGTCATTTTTTTCATCTCGTTGCATTATATTGCAATTTCCTATCATATTCGCAAGTTAATAAATATTGATGTTGCTTCATTTTCTTTCAAGACAGTTTTAGTACGAACTGTTCAGTATTTCTTGAAAGCTTTGGTTTCATTATTGTCACATCTGGTTTGTTCAGTTGCGCAAATTATTTTAGAACTAGAATTTCGATCAGCTATTTTAAAAATATGTTTATTAAGCAAAATATACGACAAAAAGAAGTTATTTGATTATAATTCGTTTGGATATGGACGCTGGCAGTTTAGTTGCTGGGTCACATTACTTAGGTAATGTTCTGTGTTTGATTTAAATGAGTTGACTTCTATTTTTCGATCCCTTTTCTTGTTTATAAAGGATAGTAATCCAAATGAATGATTCAACAATTTATTGTTTAATTCCCATTTAAATACTTACGTAGTGTGTAATAGCATAAAGGTTCCAAGCATGCCAGCATTATAATATTTCTGATTTTTTTGATTGAAACTGTGCTGTCCTGATCGGAAGGTAATTACGTTATATAATGAAGTTATCTACACATGGTTGGGCTTAAATAACTTTGTTAGAAAGAACGTTGGTAAATATACGCAGAAGTATCTTAGTATTTAAAATCTTTACAAGATGTGATGATGTTTTTTGACTAAAATTCAACGCTTATCGTTGTTACTGTTTAGAAATGTTTCATCGATGGGTTTTTACAAGGTCGGTGATACATTCAGTATATTTATTTATTTATTTAAATATAAATCTATGGAAGCAAGTCATGAAATTTGAAGTCTTTCAGAAAATCCGGAAGAACCAATTGCAAATCAACCACTATTGATTTCTGCTGGTTATGATCAATGCATTAAATTTTGGGATATTGCAAGGGGTGAGGCACGAGAGAATTTCGTTCATAAAGACTCTCAAATTAATGTGACAAATATTTCTCGAAATGGCTTATATTTGGCGATTGCGGGCTGGCAACATATGCGTGTTTATCATTTAGGGGTAAGACATTTTAACGGTTATTTAATGTTAACAATTGTCTGGAAAGTATAATGGGTAGCTAAGGTTATGAGAAATCAGAAGAGTTCGGACCATAATAAAAAAAATAAAAAAAAGGAAACGGAATGTGAAGTGGTTCAGAAAGAGCATAAAATCGGGAAAAGTATCTTTAGGTTTCCAATTTAAGTTCCGGATTTCTGGGTTTTCTTCATTAGATCTATTAAATATGGCAGTCTAAGAAATGTTTTCCCAAGCAAGTTTTTTTTTTTTGGAATTTTTGGATTTCAGGTGTCTCCTCCAACATTGGTGACTTCATGTGACACGATGTACAAAAATGTGACAGTGATTGGTTTTGATAGGCGTTGCAGATGGTTTTACACTGCTGGCGAGGATGGTTTTGTAAAACTCTGGGAATTCCATAGTTCCTTAAATTGCCGAAGATGTTTTCAAGTGGATAGTTTCTGTTTATTACCTTAAGTGCAAAGTTTCTATGAAATTATTTGTTCATAAAAATCTGCAACTAGGATATCAAAAATTTTAGTCTTCAGTCACAATTCATCTTATTTAAACTGTTCAGTTAATGGCAGCGCAAGAGATATCACAATGTGTACATCTTAAAAAAATTATTATTAGAGAGAATGTAGAGGAAAAATTTAGTAGTAATATCAAAACGTCACATGTGTACGGCAATTTTTTGGAATTCTGATTTGATTCGAGGATTTAGTAGTATAGCGTATTCATATTTTTTGATGGGATAGGATATCATGAACATATAAAATATCTATGTTCATGATATGAAGATGAAAAAGATCGCATGCAAAGTGAGTAAATTAGTAAAAAATTAGTGTATCATGAACATATAAAAAAAAATGTCTATGTTTCATGAAGATGAAAAAAGATTGCATGCAAAGTGACAAAGTGAGTAAATTAGTATGGTGTGCAACATCAAGAACATTATATGTAAAGGCTGAAGAAACGTTATACACAGAACTTTGTTTTTCTTTCTACTATATTTTCAGGTCAAATCTGCAGTGAATTGTGTTATTACCCATCCAGATTGTATGATTCTAATTATATCAGATATCTCCGGAGCATTGTATTTCTGGGATATACGAAGTGATGTCAGCGATATATTTGCAAACTTAGATCTCGACATATTTGAGCATGTCACTTATGTTGATATCAATAGAATTGGTGATACACTTGTAGGGGTAACAAATAAGGGAAAAGTTATAGTCTGGTCAGTATCAGCATCATTCGAATTGGGCTCTGCGTCCAGCACTGGTCTTACACTGTACGTTTTTAATGAAGCGTAGCAAAGATTTTGATGAAAAGTTTTGATTAGATGATTTGAATTGTTGACAACAGAAAGCTGTTTGTGGAGGGTGATTTACTGTAGTTATACGGCCGTGGTTCCTTCATGACAAACGTATATTACAAGAGGGATATATATCAAGGCTACAATATTTCATATTATAGCATTTAGTTGAGAGGTGCCAAACCGATGTTAGACAGCTCTTTCATCTAGATCAATTAAGTTCAAATCTTCACAATACTTTTGTGTAGATGAGTTGTGAAACTTCTAAGATTCGTTTTGCGTAAATTCTCTGGATTAATCTTCGTAGATTTCACATTGTAGACAGCAGAAATCAAAAACTATTGCTCATTCGAAATATGCTTTAAAATGTCACTATTCACCTGACTATAAGTATTTTGCAACAACCGGTGCTGATGGTTATGTGCATCTATGGGATGCTACAAATGTTACGAAACTCGTAAAGTCCCTTTTCGTTGCGTCTGATTTAACAAAGTCGGTTCACTTAGAAAAGGTGCTTTAATTTTTTTTTTTTCATTAAGCACTAAAAACCAGAGAGATTCACTACTAACATATATGCAGTTGAAGATGAGTTAATAAGTTTTAAATGTAACATGCAGTTAAAATCATGAAAATTTGGGTCTCCTATGCAAGATGGTTTGTTTTTTATTTAGTTAAATTAAAAGAGTGCCAATCTATATAGATTTAAAGGAAATGAATTACAAATGTTGTAAAGTTAGAGTTAAGGTTTAGACAGAGCTTTAATTCTGAAGATAGAGATAAACTTTCAATTGCTTTTAGTTGATTTGTTTCAGATGGAATCACGATGGGTTTGGGATTGTGCGTTTACATCCGATTCGAAATATCTGTTTACCGCATCTGGTTGTCAGTTGAGGTTATGGAATCTTGAGACTGAAGAGGTACGCAGTTTGCGTTTATGCAGTTTTATTTAGTGTAAACCTAAATAAAAATTACGAATAGTTGGATCATATTTCAGATAGTGCGCCAATATCAAGGTCACAGCAAAATGATATCATGTTTTGCATTCCGAGAAGGTTGACTTGTTTTTTAAAAAGAAAAAAGGAATATCAGTAATATATTCATTCCAATTTTACACGAAATGAAAAGCAGTTCACTCATAATTCAATTAGATAAAATTTTTTTTTAGTTAATGTCGTTTCTTTTTTTATAAATGCACTTACTCTAACATGATGAGCTCACTCATTCATGTTTTGTCAGTTTCAAGCTTAATTTCTGCACAAAACTAGAATTTGTTGTCAATAATAGGTTCTAAAATTTCGAATAACTTCTGGAATTGTATTGCTAGATATCATATGTATCATTTATAATTGAATATATTTCTCAAGCACATAGATTTCGAAGTTATAAATCCACTGTTCTTATATTATTATCACTGTTTGGAATGGTTTATACATAACGTTACATTCACACATATTGAAATATGTCGTATCGTGTTCTCAATTTGAGGACCTCTGTCACTGCAAATTTAAGGGAAATTGTTCCGTTTTCAGGTTTCAAAGAGTACTGATTTACCAGACACTTTTAGACGTCATTAGTGGTGCGCAAAAAAAGAGTTATTGTTTTTGTATTTTTATTTGCTTGTACTGTATATATAGATATTGCAGTGTTTTCAGATCTTCATTTACATATTAAAACAGCTTTTTTCATCCACTGATTATGCTTTCAGTTATTTGAAATCAGATTTTTGACGCTTTTTTATGATCAGGTTAACGTAAATAGTCATTACGTCATGATTATTTTAAAATCTATATTTCCAAACAAGCAGATGATAAATTAAATATTATATTTCATAATACATTGCTGACGAGTAATAATTAACTGTGGCACGTTTTGGAAACAATAAATTGATGTGTATAAATCTATGTTTTATGTTGAGCCAACAAATTTAGCTAGTCCTATGGAACAGTGGGCACTAATACTCAGCACTAGCTATTGCTGTTAATTTCGTTTAGCCAGTCGTTTAAAACAGCGTATCATAATCAGTTATTGCTCGACAGCACTGTATTATAAAATGTGATGGTAATTTGTCATCTGCTCAGTTTTTGATAATGAATTGTTTTGAGTTGGTACCTTGAATGGACATAGTTCTTCCCTTTTCACTATATTAAGGAATACTAGACTTTACCAAACGAGTTGTTTCATTATATAGAATTTAACTAAAGTTAAATGCTTGAATTTTAGAAGTCGAGCAGCAAGTTGCCATTATGTCACATCATTTACTTATTTATTCTTTCAGTCAGTTATTGATAATATTATTTAGGACTAAAAGTGGTTGGAATAGAGTGAAGTCATTTCTTGTTTTAATGCAGTAGTAGCGTGTAGTTGGAACAGAAAATCGATCGGAAATATTCCCCTCTGAAATAGTGAATCTACTGGTAATTATGCATGAAGGATATGACGGAGTATTCCTCCTAAGGAAGCCATATGGTAGATGTTGATCAGTCACATTATATTGCAGGATATGGAAATCTTGATTAGAAAAGATTGTTATACAAATGCGAATTTATTGTTGAATTACTGTTGAAAAGCTTTTGCACAGCACTGATTTCTAAAGTATGTTGGAAGATGAAGCTGCGGATAGTCTCACTGAGAACAAGGAAGCTCGAGCCAAAAAACTCTGGCAGATGGCAGATGCTGTTTGTTTCGATGTCGATTCCACCTTATGCACTTGCGAAATGATCGATGAATTTGCGAAATATCTTCACTGCTACGAAGTCGTCAGATTTACTGAGGGAACAATGAATGGTGAAATTTCATTTCGTGAATCCCTGAAAATTCGGTTAAGTATTCTTAAACCAACTCGGGAACAACTGGAAGTTTTATTCAAGAAAAAGAACCAAAACTGACATCAGGTGGTGAAGCTTTGGTTGCTGAATTGCATCGCCGTTTTATTCCGGTTTATTTGATCAGTGGTAGCTTTTTTCCTGTAATTCTTCCAGTAGCAAAAATTCTTAAAATTCCTGAGACAAATATTTATGCAAATGAGATGTTCTTCGATGAAAATGGATTTTGCATTGGTTTTGATGAGACAAGAGCAACTAGTGACTCAGGTTTCAAGGATTTCGGTAAAGCGGCAGTCTGTAGAAAGCTGAAGGATGAGAAAGGATACCGGAATTTAGTCATGATTGGTGATGGTATGACTGATTTAGAAGCATCCGCACAGGCAGATCTGTTCATTGGTTTTGGTGGGAATCGATGTCGTGATGTGGTGAAAAGGAAAACATTATGGTTTACATATAATTTCGGTACGCTTAGGACAAGTCTAATAAATAAGTAGAAGTTTTATGATAGCAGTTTCAAGCATCATCGTTTGCCGTTCGGAACGAATTATTTGCTACTGTTTGAATATTTCAGTACTCATTAAAGATTTTGCTGATTTGCATGTAGTAGGTAGTTTTGATAGGTAGATGATACTTCGATTACTTATCTGTACAGAAATTGGAAATCAGTCGTAGTTGTAATTTCAAAATTCTGTTGCATATTGAATGTTTACAGTAACACTCAGAACTAGTTTTGAGTTTGAACTCACTGAAGTTGAAATGCCATCTAATGTGATTAACTTTGATTATAATAAAGCATCAATTTCTCATTCATGTTGCAATTGCTATAATCAATATTTGTTTGACAAACATGGCATTATCCCATCTGTTGTGTTTAATTAATGAGATGTCAAAGAAATAGCTTTTATCAACGTGGAACAATTAGAATCTACCGCTAAAATAATACTAGTCTGAACCAGAAATGGATAACAAGCTATTCCATCATTAGTGATATGAAGAGAGGAGAATCACAAGGCATTAAATCAATGCCTAATATATGGACGCTGAATGTATCGGGAAGTTACCGAATTGATTCATTCAGAATGTGCCGTCTTAGTAAGTTTCTATTTGTAGGAGGAGAGTAACTAGTAGCATTGGTAGCAGGCACCACATGCAAAGGAGGAAAGACATGGACAGCCGTACATGGGCAGCGTGAAAGTGATTGGAACGAGTGGTGGAAGAGAAAGATCATTGGACAAGTTTAAATATGTTCAGATTACTACTGGAAGTGGGTTATGAGGGACGGATCTGAATGAAATGAAATAAAACAAGTTTGAGGGAGAGATGGAGTGAGTGGATGTGATGAGTAAGAAGAGGTCCTTTGTATGTGTGTGTGTTTCATTCGATATGTCTTCTTTACCGATGTCTATACCGATGTGTCTTCTTTAGTTGTCCATGTTAGTTCACCACTTCTTGTCACGCTCCCTGCTCTTATCCAGGGTTACATGTTGTGATTGCTTCTTATGCTGCAATATGATCCACAGAGTTATCAAGTGTTTAATTATAAACGAATGGATGGATAGAAGGAATAGCATGCAGCTTATTTACGATAGTAATTTGTATTGCACAGGAAGGATGGTACGTTAAGTATCACTACATTTTAGAGTGTTAAATTTCCATGGTGTCATGTTGCTTCATCTATTGGATGTCTTTTTCTCAAACTTTTTTCTTATTTTTACGGTTTTCTTCCAATATTACGTTCTTACTGCTAATTAATTAGTACTTCTGAAGCAATTACAGTGCGTATCAGTTAAATTTGTCCGATTCTAACGTTTAGCTTTCTTATGCATTTCAGTCTTAGAATGAATAAGTTTGCTGCATTACAGAGCAAGAAATGTTCGCTCGTAAAGTAAAGTCAGCAGATTTTACAGCATCGTTGCAGCGCTTTGCCGATCTTCACCGTGATTGTGCGTCACGGGCCAAACATCTCAAACTTGCTCTCGATGCCCTTTGCATCAAGGTTTGTTCTGCATTGCTTAATTTTGAATTTTAGAACATATGACAGGAACTAGGACGTATGGTACTAATGTCTATACTAGTACATGTGATGAGCAGGTAGATCACTAGTAAATTATTGCTTGTTAATTAATTTCGGGATGACTACAGTTGATGATTGCAGCTCTCTTAGTTCTTGAATTTATTTATATTTCCATTCTTATTGCTGTGGTGTTTTTTTCTAATGATTCTAAATAACTCTGACGTTCACTGATGATAAGTATTTTAAGTTTCATCCTCCACATCATATCTATTCCTTTCCAGGACAAGAGACAGTTCATGGAAGATTATAGTTTTGAAACTTTCCATCTGGTAGATGAATTGTTACTACAAGCCGATCTTACACAAACAGCTCAGTCGGTTCTTGAAGTTGAATCAGCTTTGTGGACGCTCGAACAGCTACTGTGTCTTGCACCAGGATTAGTTGGCAGTGGTATATGTCTGCTTACTTAAAATTCTGTTGTTCTTTTTTTTTGCTTTTAGATCTAAAAACTTACCAAATCTAAGTTTTAAGTCTTTGTTTTTCCAGGCTGGCAAAAGCATGCCATCGAATATGTCTTGAAAAAGGCTCTGTTTCCACATAATTTGCTAGTCGTAAGGAAAATTGCGCTGCGTCTATTTATTATTTGGTATCAGAGTTTGGCAATTTACAGCAATAGTAATTCGCAGTTAGATACCGTTTTTCAATGCCTTCTTCCGCATTTCCCATTAAGGTTCGTAAAATCTCTTTCATTTTCCATCTTTTTATTATGTAATCCTTTACTTTTTAAGGACCAATAGTACTCTCATCTGGTGAAATAGATAGCTCAACTTTATTTTGTTAAAATTTTTGTTAAATAATTTTAACTCACTCATTTTCAGGAATACTTTGCCTACTGAAAGCATTTTACATACTTATTGTCAGTCGACCGCTAATATCGCGGGACCAGGACCCATCCGCCATTCACCGCTTGTTAGTAATCCGAACAATACTGCGCCAAGTCCGAAGGAAAGAGCACAATTACTTCAGGTAAATTTAGTAGTCGCGATAAAAAAATGAGGCTGTCGTGAAATGCTTGTATTATCATAGAATTTAAAGAACGTAAAAGGCCTTTTTAGGTGTATCTGGATAAGTTTCTTGAATATTGCACAAGAGAAACGGTTCGAATTGAATGGAATGATGAAAATATTCGTCTGGAGTGTGCAAAATTTATTTTGGATCGTGTGATTGTCCTTTATATTTATGAAATATTTCCTGATATAGAAACTAATGGTGTAGATATTTATGGTGGATGGGAAGGTGGCGAAGGACAGATGGATATTCGCGATACCGCCGACCCTATAGTAATTGCACGATATTGGCTTATTAGGTTTGTTGGAATATTTTGAATATTTCCTTGGTAATTCATTTATTCATCAACTCTTTGTTCCTTCTTAGTTCCCTTTCTTCATTTAAAATCTTTTTTTGTTATTCTTATCGGAAAAAACTGAAGTTAAAAATTTAGTACTGTATATCTTCCCTGCAGATGGATGGCGACGGTTGCGCTTACAACTAATAATGATTTAGCTGTGACGGGTCAGCTGCTATATCGCAAAGCTTTGTTTTCTAGTCGTAAAGCAACGAATACACTTTTAACACTTTTAAAAGAAGCTGTAATGTTACCATTACCGTGCTCGAATGTTATTCATAAAGTTTGTTTTCCATCTTCGTGAACTTTGTCACTATGTAATTTCGACAATTTAGTGTTAAGTACAAGCACCTTCGTGTTGTCCGTGAGAAGTGAATGTCATACTATAATGTGCAACTTAATTTTTTTTTCTTTTTTGTTTTTTTCAGCCTAAAATCTTTTTAACTGATTGTTAAATGCAAGATTTTCTCAGTTTAGAAACCAGGAAGTAAAGAAATATATTTCACTGATTGTTTGAGTTTAGGGTCTGAATAGTGGATAGTCCAATACATCTTGTAAATTTGAGGGTACTGATATATTCTCACTTTTCTCTCAGTCTTTTCTACCGCCATATATCTAGTCTTTTTTGTTAGGTGAATGCTTAAAGGACTTGATAGATTTCTCTTTTCAGGTTTTTTCTTTGATCAATACATGGTTGTTACAGCGAAATCTACCTCCTTTTATTGGTCAAGAAGGAATTGCAATTGAATCATTATCACTTTTGCTCATTCATTTTCTTACTTCATTTTTTCACAGTCCATACTTACCGGTAGCTGGTGAACGCTTGTCGTCTGCCATTTCTTTAACGCAGAGTTTACTGCAAACAACTCGTGATCTTTCCAACCCTTCAACTTCTTTGCAAAATTCACTGTCAACTAGAGTATGGTGTGAACTTATCAGGAGTCTTGCAGCCGGTGTACGCAATGTTACTTCCAGGTTTTGAATCATTGTTCCTTCGTGGCATTCAAGTTACTATGCTTGGAAGAAATTGTTTTGGTTTGATTATTTATTGTAGTTGCAAATTCTTATTTTCAGATCTGACGCTTATGGACGTGCAACTTCTGGTGCTCTAGCGCAAAATCTACTTGGTGTTATTGTTTTTGTTCGAGCAATAAGTGGTTAGTCTGTTATTCATCTGGAGTATTGTCTGGAATATTCGAAATTAAATTATAACATAATCTTCAGTAGTTTTATTTAGTTGTTAACACTTTTTTTTTGCACAGATGGAGCTCACAACACATGGCTCAAAATTTATTGTTTAGGTATTGAAATCGAAGAAAGAGTGTGGGATGATGTGCTGGCTGTGTTCCAGTCTGGTTGTTGGATGCAAATGATTGAACAGTGGAGCCGAGTAGTCGGTAGTGTTACACGTGCGCTTATCCTGAATCTTTTTGAGGTTGATGTTGCTCCACCTACTCAATCGGTATATTTTTTTAGTCTTTTAATTCATTTGAAGTTTGTCCTGTAATGCATTAGTCTTTTTTGATGATGAGTTCTGAAGCTACTTACTAGCAGGCAATAAGAATAAATTGTTACTATGTGATATTATTTCAGACTTCTCACCAAATAGTCAAAAGAGTGAAAAGTAATGAAACGACAAGTACTCAAGAAGATGGAAATGCAGAATTTTCGGAAGAAACTCGATCCGAAAACGATAATTCTGTTGAGGACGAAAATGCGCAATTCACTTCAGTGGTACAGGTAAATTGTTTTAAAAGATATTGTTTTGTTTTGTTTTGTTATTCGTGGGTTTTCTGTTTATAGAATCGTATTATCTTGTTTACATCTGCCCCTTCCTAATTTCCTAATTTGTGCAGTGACAGTTTTCTGCCGTATAATAACGAAAACGAATAAGTAAAGAAGGTAAATTAGGTTAATTTCCTTCATATTTTTTATTATCAAATAAAGAAATCATTTTCGCTGAGCATTAGACTGCACTCTTTTCAACATTATTTCTTAACATTTATTGTGACTCTTTTTTTCAGTAGTCTTGCAATCATTGGGATTTTAAGTTTGTTAACTGTATTATTTCCCAG